CAAACATCCAAAGAAGAGATGGAACCAGATCCAAAGCCCGACTTGGATTCTGACTCCTGGTGTCTCCTTGGAACTGACTCATGCCGCTTTAGCCTGTAGTCTTTCATACCCAGTGGAACCTATCCAATTTCACACAACATTAACTAAATGCAAAGAACAGCTTTCCTAGATTCAGCTCCTCTGTGAACAAGGAAGTCAGAATCTCCTTAGCCTCCATGTATGCAAGAGAAGAAGCACTGCCTTACGCTATGAAACTAGGAGAGAATTTAGAGACAGCCAGAGCCCTAAATTCAAATCAGAGTCTGTGCAGATACGACAATGGTGAGTTCTCTCAGTGTAGTGTTGAGTCAGGTAACACCACCACAGGAATGGTTCCAGCAGCAGCACTTCCTTCATTTATTTCCCAGTTTTCAAAGAACAGCATTGAATCTGCAACAGTATTCACTTTATCTTCAGGCAATTCAAAGATGAAAAATGATTGAAAAGAGAAAACAAGCAATCACCAACATTGATAGTCAAATTGAAATGCTGTGAGTTACTTTTAGCTTATAAAGTTAAAGGAGAAGCATCCCAGCCTCTAAGAAAGAAGTTTGAAGAAGGGGAAATACAGAAAACAAAGTTTCTGAAAGTGGATGAAAGCATCCCAAACAGAAAAAACAAATTTCTATTTAGATTAATTTCTAATCATATATTCTTCAGCCTGCAGAGAATTTATTTATAGTTTCAGGAATATTGGGGAAGGACATCAAGCACCCTTTTCATTCCCACTTGGCACTGTTAAAATGCAAAATAACTGGCTGAACTCTTTCAGCTGCTCCAAATCTCTAGCTCTAGAATTCACAAGCACTGGTTTTGAAGTCAGACAAGGAGTGATTGGAATTTGAAATCAGACACAGGTTTATGACTTGACTCCTCTTATTCAGTTATTGGCCTGAATTCCAATAAGAGCTGTGGAAAACCTCTTTCTTTGTGCCCTAAATCAATATTTTTGCTGTCTTTCAATACTTCATGAAACTGGACTTAATATTGGTTTTAACAAAGTACGTGCATCAAATATAATTGCTGCAATCAATTACCATATATCACTTCAGAAATTCTACTGTAGTGTTATTACTAAGCTATGTATGAAAGAATTTTGAAGGTATGATGCTCTATTTTTCACATTTAAAAAAACTTGATATTTTTGCTAACTGGATTACCTCACTATCTTACACCTTTGGCATAGATATAATTTCTAAGAACTATTTCTGCATTTCTCTTTACAGTAGAGTGGGATTTTATTACAGCTTAACCCTAACTTTTAGAAAAGTTGCTCTGTATGCTTGCGTCCATTATTTTATTTGGTAGACCTTGATTTTAATCTCAGTCTCTCATATCTATTTCTGACGTCTCTTTATGCATTCTATAATTTTATCAGGCTGAGAAAAGGAGAAGGGGCAGAGCATTAAACCACATTTTTGGTCTGTTAAAATATTTAATAGATCATTGTGCCATGTGGTTGATTTCCTGCCCTCCAAAAATTACTGAAGTTTGTTTTCCCACATATGAAAATACTGTTTCATCAACAGAGGTTGTCTTGTTATAAAGAACAACTATGTTGGGGCCACATCCAGTAAGAAATCATGGAGCCAATGAGAATCACTATTTTGCAGTGCACTATTTTTATTTCTCAGTGTTCTAAGTTGAATGGAGTACTGATTCACTATACTGAGTGGTGATCATTCAGCAATATATGTGCCTTTAAAGATAATGCTGTCCAAGCTGTGCCTGTTACAGACCTTGATATATGCCCCAGTCCTGCTATGCAACCAAAGCACAGATTTTGTCCCACCTAAAGGATGAAGGGAAAAGGCCAGAGTGCCTTTGAGAAGTCTATTTACCTTCTCCCTTCTTCAGCAATGCTAGCTCTGTAGATGACAGTCACTTGCTAACATTGCTGTTGATCTATTATAGTGAAATACAACATATGAAAACTAGTTTGTCGTAATCTATCTTTCTAAGATCCAATAGTTGAATGGTTTGATGTTTTCTGTTTAAATAAACTTTGACACTCATTTGCTTCTGTCCTGATTAATTCTAATAGAAATTGAGGATATTTGTAATTCAGGGAAAACACATTTGAGGTTATTTTGTTCTACATTTGCCATGATCAGAAATGCTAAACTTGGTCCACATTTTCAATGACAACATTTACCTTCTTCCTGCTACTGTATTTTTGGAATCCTTTCAATAATGGGTATTGCTTACCTTTTTAGAAATTCTACTGTAAGATATAAAAATCCTTATTTAAAAAATGAATCATTCAAAGGTATAACTTAATTATTTCTAACATTTTTCTCTCTATATTATGTTGCTTATACCTTTTTTAGTCATTTAGCTTGCCATTATGATTACAAGTATCCGCATTTAACGACCACTCATTCAGCAACCATTTGAAGTTACAACAGCACTGAACGAGTGGTTTTTATGACCAGTCCTCAATGTTCTGGCCATCCCAGCACCCCTGCAGTCACATGATCACCATTTGTGACCTTCCCTGCCAGCTTCCCACAAGCAAAGTCAGTGGGGAAGCCAGCAGGGAAGGTCGCAAGTCACTCCAGTAAGTCACTCACACTCTCCCCCATCCGGCAGCAGCCACCCCCAGCCCCACTGCACTCAGGCCATGCCTCACAGACCACCTGCACACCTTCCCCCGCCTGACAGCAGCCACCCTCGGTCCCACCGCACCAGCCACTTGTGCAGCCGCAGCCGCCCCCAGCCCCACCAGACTACACCAGCCACCCGCACACCTTCCCCCACCTGACAGCAGCCACTTACCTGCCTGCCAGCTTGCTTGCAAACCACCTGAAACTCACTTAATAACCCGTGATACTCGCTTAACACTGGCAACTGGGAGTGCTGTGATTGCCATTGCTAAGTGATGTGGTCATGTGACATCATCCTTTATGACCACATCGCTTAGCGATGGAAAATTCCAGTCCCAATTACCATTGTTAACCAAGGACTACCTGTATCAAGAATATCAATTATACAACAGTATATAAAAATTATTGCTATATTCATTTGGTGTTGACAGGATCATATATAGCTTTATGACTTGAACAAAGAATAGTGATATGAGCACATTTCTTTTATATAATACTGTATCATGAAAAAGAAGAGAGCCATATCTCAGATGATTGGTAAGAGGGGTACATACCACCTTTTGGTTCCCGACTACTGGGTATACAATGTTGGTAAAAAGCAAATTGAAGCACTGCCTAAATACACCTTTGAGGAAAATACAGTAATCGCTTCATAATAGTTGAATCCACCTGCATATTACATTTGGTCATAGGGAATAGACAGAACACAATTTATTTGGTAAAGTTTCTTGCACATGCTTATGACTTTAGAGAATATCTTGTCATGAATCTAAGCAAGAGAGTAACGTTAAAATAGGATTTCTTGCTAGGATATATGTAAAATACAAACGATGATGGAGAACAACAAAGCACCTGCTTTACAGGCAATGATCTCAGAATTTGATTGCTGCATTTCCAAGTAAGGCTGGGAAGAACTTCCCTTGATATTATCAGTACATGTAATATTAAACTACATGGCTCATTAATCCAATACAATATAATGCTGCTTTTAGGTCAGTGATTATTTTTGTACTGAAGTTTACTTTTACAGGTTAATGACAGTAAATAATTTGTTTTCAGCAACTCCAGAAAACCGATAACATGAAAATTAATGTGGAATAGGAGAAAAGCTCTCAATACAGTTTATCAAAGTTAATAAAACATATGCTAGAATTATGAAGCACCACTGCTAATAACTTTATCACCAACCTGTGCCATCTTATAAAAAATATACCTTTAAAAATATTGCCTATTTATTAAATAGGTGAGAATATACATGTAACACATATTGCAATCTGAGATGACACAAAAGACATTTTGAGGTTCAGCTTAGTCTTATAATATATACAAAAAAGGTCTTCATGCAAAACTCTTTTTGTCACTATACATATTAGACTTACCCAAATTGAAACTATAGGGCAGCTTTCTAAAAGACAAGGACATGGTTCAAGGAAAATAAAGTTAATCATTGCTTCTCCCAAACAGACATGAAGACAACAGTATAACGATATGGCTGCATTGTACAGAACTATAAACGCTCCTGGCTTTTAATGAAAAAACAATCATTGGGTCCTCCCACTAATAGGAGCAACTTGTTCACTTACCATGATATCCTAACACAGTACTCTTGCTTGTACAAACAAGCTAAGATTTGTAACGCCAACAAATTGAGTTTATTATCCTGTTTGAATGTGAACCACAAGCAGGTGGTACACTAAACAATTTTCATTTCTCAAAAACCAGCAGAGATTCATAGCAAACCAGGATTGACAAATATTATCATTCCCCATGCAAATGTCTCCAAAAGTAAAATATAAGCACAAAATCCAGCAGTCTGTGTTGTATTTTTACCTCATCCACCTCTATTAAAACTTGATTTGATAAATAAGTAATATAAATTGCTATTACTGAAGAAATGGGACCTGAATTTTCTTTCATTTTGAAATCATTTAAATCTATGTATGGTGCAAAAGAGTTATTAAAAACCTTCCTTTCTGAAGCTGAGTAAAAAACATGAAGAAAACAAGTTGATGAAAGTCAAGTTTCCAACTTAAATCCATTTCACATTTTTTTAGTAAAACAAAATTAGGAACATGGGCAACAATTATTTTTCATACCAAATAAATGCAAGTCTGAATTTCAAGCCCTGTATTTTTGCAAAACTAAGCTTTTCAGTTCTCTTGGAGTATTAAATCAGCACCAGACTGAAGATTTGCAGCTCAGATGAAATCTAGCAATTTTTGTGAATCACATACTGTACTCTATTAAACAGTGCACTATACAAAGTAGTATTGTATAATTAACTCAACCCATTATGTATTTAACTCGAATTACTGTGTATTTAACTTGAATTTTGCTACTATAGGCTCCGTTCTTAACTATAGGTCGTCCTTTAACCAGGTGTTTTTAACTCAGGGACTACCTGTACAAGACTGATATTTGCCAGACAATACATTCATCCATACATTTCCACTTTCAGTAAATAACACTTTTGCCACAGTAAGCAAATTATGTTCTGCATATTTAATACAGACCAAGTTTGTTGCCAGAAGACAGCATGTATCAGCATATGCCACCTAGTTTGCATATAAAGATATTTATTCCATTTGTTTGCTGATTGTTTGCTCTGGTTGACCTTTTCCCAGATATTGTAATCATTAATTTGTTAGCATAGGCAGAGCTAATCAAATGTCCACTTCCAGATAACTAAGTACCCTTTCACTGATCTTAAAGTTGCATAGAGATGAAAATCAAGAGCTACTACAATTATGCTATACAGTACAATCCATCCATAACTTCCGCTTTTTTTCTTTTACAGCAATTTTTTGCAGGTCACTTTGAAGTGGGAAAAACTATCCTTATGCAGTACTACAGAATAGGAAATAAAACTGACTGTAAAGCTTTTCCCAGGTAGATGTGAATAGTAATATGTGATACAATGAAATACCTAACACCCTTCCCCAGCTATCATTCTAATATTTAAAAATGTGATTTTTTATAGAACATGGGTGCTTTCTGTTATGGTACTCAACACAGGAATAGGAATTTGCATACCCTAAGAACTTTATTTCAGTCATGAGAGCTCAGTTATTTATCTCTTGCAGATCATACAAGAAAAAGCTGGTCTCAGGTGCCATCAAAGAGTCACAAGCATAGAGTCATGATTTATAAAAACTTCATATTTTCTTCCAATTTTTTAATGGGCCTTTTTGTAGGGCCATTCTTCCATTTTCTAAGAAACAGACAAAAAATCCACTGCAAAATATGCAAAGAATCCCACTGAAGTATTTTTACAGACTACAAAGTTTCAGGATGATGAAGACAAAGCTACTTTTTGCCCATCTAGGTGCCTGACCGTAACATGTAGTATACAAAGGTTAATGATCCATTTATAGTTTGTGGACTTCTCATTAGTTTTACACTGAAGCTGCTACTCTGTAGCATCAAACTGAGAAAAATAGCAAAAAACTTAAATTATGATTACACCAATTGCAGATGTCAATGCTTTTTTTGCTGTGGTGGTGGTGGTCTGTTCTTAATGTTCTTGCACTTGGGAATATGTCTCTCAGCAACCTTAGGTGCAAACTGACGAGTACAATATGGGCACAATTTGTAGTCTGGGTTTTCCATGGCTGGTGCTGGGGGAAGATCTGAGACCTTTCCTCCTTTGGAGATTATGCGCTGCACTTCACGAGCCCTGCGCAATGTCTTGATGAAAGAGTCATGCTTCTGTCTCCAATTGCTTTGTTTAGATATAGCATTGCTTTGTTTGGAAGTCTCAGAACTTTGGCAGGAAGTTTTTTTCTGTAGCAACAAGGGGAAGTGGGAAAAAATCATTAATGGAACTTTGTTAGCTCATACTGTGATCATTCCTGTAACTATTTTTTTAATGGAAATTATGTTGTCATATGTATAAATAAGTTATTTCTAATGCCATACATTTTGAATCTTTTAAATAAAGTTAGATATCTGAAACTATAAAGTGTATGTAAAGGACAAACTGTATTAATTTTTTAAAGTCATTCCCCCTTCCTCCTGGGGTCCTTTCTGAATGATAACATCGCATTTTTAATCCATGCCATCATTAAAATATCTTAATATTGTAACTGGATTGTGAATGAAATTTACTGCACTAGCAAGAATGTTATGAGGTTAACTCAGTGAAATTTAATAGATACTGTGAAATAAGACAACTTTTGATCCTACTACATTATATTCTTTCATCATTTTAAATATAAATGGTTTCTTCATCTTTACGATTTTCCCTAGAACCAACTATCATTCTATCTTGTTGCAGTGACTTTTGAACATTGGTTATGGATTCTGCAACATGACGATTTTGACCATCTGTTTTCACATTCTCGTTGCCTCCTTGTTCATGAATAATAAAGATAACAAAATAATGTTAAATTTGTTCTTTACTTTCTAGCCAAGTACCAGTATCTTAAATAAAAATTAATGGAGATTTCACCTTATTTTTTGGTCTCTTCCTAGCATCATTTTCAACAGTCATCATATTTGTTGCTGCATTTAAATTATGAAGTGGAAGTTAAAGGCTAATTATGGCTCATTAATTGTTATTAAGAAATACATCTGTTTTTAAGGAAATTTCAGGAAAAAAAGACTGAACTGTATCCTAGCCAGATGCTGCTCAACAGGCTTAAGACTAGAAAGCATATGAGTTAGAAAATGCATTAAGAACCCCAATATAAACCAAAGAACAAGCAGGATACATATAATAAATTAGTATGCACATCACCTGTGAAATATCTGAGCCCTTCAAGAGATGATACGTCTCTAATTCAGTGCCCTTTGCTCTAGCCTTGCTTGAATCAAACACTTTTCTCTTGGATTCATGATTCTTGCTGCAAATATTTATGTGTTTCTCCAATCTGGAACAGTAAAGTCTCCGTCCACAAAAATTACACTCTCCCCAATCTTCTAAGTTGCTTGGAACCTCTGTATATGACGATTCTGTTGCCACTGAGTCTGCAGGACCTAATGGGGTTCCTGTTGGAGAACAAGACTGGTTGCGTAAAGATGCCGTTTCTAGGCTATAAGTGGAAGAAATATTGGAGAAGTTTTCTCGAATTTTATTGTTGCTAGCTATCAATCGTTGCTTTTTGAGCCTTTCCATAGGAAGCGTCTGTGGAAGCAGGGCAGCCCCAGTTGAAGCTATCACAGTCTCTGGAACAGGCACTTTTTGATCATCATCATGTAGTTGTGCCATAGATTTGGAAACACAATCTTGAGAAATGGCTGTCGTTTTCTTCTGGGGCATCCATAATCCTCCTTGCTCTCTTCTTGCTTCTGCCTCAGCCTGCTGTCTTTTCCACTGGATTTTACGGAGCTCTTCTTCTGTTTTCCTTAGTTTCTCCCTAAGGAGAGCCTCCTTTCTCTGGATCTCCTCCTCCAAACTCCGTCCAGCAGCCTCCAGTTTTTGAATATAGCCCGACTCTGCTCTTTGTGAATGAGAAGTTGCTGTATTAAATTGTTGTATAGAAAATGGAGAGTGCATCCCTATAGGCTGAGCCTTCACTGTGTGCGACACTTTTATTTTCTCTGAGCTAATGCCACAGGAAGGAATCTCTCTAGCTGGTGCATTTCCAACTTGCCAAGAACTGGGTAAAAGACCATTCCCAGGTTTCTGGGGAAAGACAGGCTTAAGTGGATATGCTCTGTCCACACCTTCTCTCCGCTTGGTTCTCCAGTGGGAAGGCACAGTGCTGGCCTGACTTTTGAAACACCAGTTATGGGGGCCAGCAGAATAAAAACCTGCTTTCTCTAAGACCAACTGACTATTTTCTGCTGGCTGAGTACAGGAAGAGCTCCGCTCTTTGGGAACATGAAGATCTTTCAATTTCTTATCTTTGCAGCACACAAGCTGTTGTTGGATATTATTCCTCAGATGTTCTAACTGGGACTGTTCTTTAAGAACTTCAGGATGACATCTTTCCTGGCTTGTTGCAGGAAGACTGGAATTGGATGCTATTGGATCCATATGCGAACACACAGCCAGCTGCAATTGAGCCATTCAGCATTTCCACTAAATCTGAGGAAATGCAACAAATTATATACATGCTATAATTTTAGCTCTCATTCTAGAATTCTATTCCTTTATTATGATGGAGAATGTAAGATTTTAGCCATGATCAATAAAAAGAAGTATGCAAATGAAAGAGCCTATTTTAGCAGTACTGTACTGCTTCTAATTTATCCCACACAATCTGAGTGTGGAAAGCATAAAAGCTGCCCTCACATAAACCTACCTTATGCAGGACTGTTACTAGATTCCCCAGAATAGTAGAGAACACAGCTATGTTAGTAGGAAAAAATGTACTGTGCACAACCTAAAGGTCTTGCTTTTCCATGCCAGGTCTATTATGTAGGATCCTAGCTGAAAGTGTTTGCTTGGGTATCATAGAAACATGGTTCACAAAGGAAAGGGATGCATTCATGTTTCCCAGCCCTGCCCAACTGGCTACTCCATGATGCTGCAAGTTGGATTAGTCAGTGGGGAGGTGCACTGGACTTGGTCTATATGAATTCCATCTTGCTAACCCTATGTGCATCATCTATCAGTGCAGAATTCATGCTGCTGCACTTTCATGGCTAGGATGGTGTAGGGATAATATTATTAGAGTACCATGTTCCCTGCCGCTTCTCTTCTTGTGGATGATCTCAGGTGCAGTACTAGAATATCCTTGGCTTCATGTCCTGTGGGATTTCAATATCCATGCGGAAGCTACCCAGTAAAAAGCATGTCAAGATTTCATGACTCCCTTGATTACTATGGGTCTATTCCAACTGGTATCTGACCCACATATGTAACAGGGCACACTCAGGATTTAGTAATACTATTCCGAATGGCTGGTAATCTGAAAATGGGAAATCTTTGTTACAGTACTCATTTGTCATGGAGAGATCACTGCCTAGTCAATTTTAGATTGATGGTCAGTATAAACCTCTGCAGGAAGGGAGGATCTATTAAAATAATATGACCAAGGATTATGGTCCAATGGTTTCCTGAATGTACTTGGAAGAATTTCCTACCTTGTCTGTCACCCATACTGCTGACGCACTGGATAATCTATAGAATATGGAAATGGTCTAAGTGGTTAACACCATAACTCTTGCAGAGCCAAATAATCCTTTGGATTACTAAAGAGCTGAGAAAAATGAAGTGAATAGAAGAAACAAGAACTGGAACACAAGTGTAAGAACTCTCTAGACAGATCAGACTGATCAGACTGAGGTTCTTTTTAAGGTCTCCTCCACAACACTGGAAGAAACAAAGTTGCTCACTTCTCTGCCTCCATAGGTTAAAAAAAAAAAATCATTATGGTGGCCACAATGGTGTGATTGAAGTTTTTAAAGTGGAGTATGTACAATGCACATAAAAAATGGGCTGAGCTTTAATCACACTATTGTGGCTGCTATTATGACTTTTTTGACCATACCGTGCAGAATCTCCTGTCTGATTCCACTGCATTTCTAAAGAATAAATTAACATTTCTATCTGTACTCTGCAACACTTTCTTTGCCAAGATTTTGGGGTAGAAGACAGAAGGTAGAGAGCAGAAGGTAGAAGAATTCACATCATTCTTTGCACACAATCAGATCCATTTCAACATGGACACCAGTACAGGATGGGTTATAATCTTGGGTTACGCAGGATTATTTATTTTATTTTATTTATTTATTAAATTTGTATGCCACCCATCTCCCCTGGAGGGTGACTCTGGGTGGCTCACAATTAAAGTAAAACCTGAAAACAGTTAAAAATATAAATACTCACATTAATTCGTTAAAAAGTCAGAATATATAAAAATTATATTGTCAAGTTATAATCTTGACAAATAATTTTTTCTGTGATTTCAGATTCTTTTCAGCTTGTAGATCTCAAGGATGTGAACAGGTTGTGTCCAGAGCTAGGCCTACCACCTGACTGATCCTTGCCCCACCTGGATTATTAAAACAATCACAACTGGTCCCATATTTAAGGGAGTGAACAATGCTTCCTTACAGATGAGATATGTTATTTCCTGCCTAAACGAGGCAGATATAAAGTCTCTGTTAAAGAAATCTTCCCTTGATCAGGGATGCTTATGTGATTATAGGTCAATAAGAAATCCATACAACTCATTTCAGTTCATTTGGCAGGGATGTGGTGCAAAGATTACTTTGGTTGAACCAAACTGAAAATTACACATGTGTATGGAAACCTGCTAGTTGTGCTAGATTTCAATAGTTCAATACTGCTAAACAAGGATATCCTTCTAGATTGTCTGGTAAGAATGGGTCTTGGGGACAGATTTGTAAATTGCAGTTTATCCTGTGTGGATGGGGTTGCACTCCAGGTAAAACAATAGGTTCACAGTCTGAGAGCACTGTTTAATCCTTAGCTGTCACTGGACTCAGATGGTGAGAAACACATTTGCACAGACAGTTGCAATTCTTCCTAATTTATGTGATTTAGCAACAATTATCCATACCTTGGCTACAGTATATCCCATCTTGGTTACTATAATACATTCTCAATGGGCCTAATCTTGAAAAATATCCTGAAATTGTAATTGGTGTAAAAGGAGGCAGCCAGACTAGTAATCAATGCAAAATACAAGGAATACACAATTTTTTTTTTCTTCCTAGAATTTTTCCTGCATGTATAGGGTCTGCTTTTTTCAGATCAACCGAATGTTGGTTGCAACAGGAATTGACTGACTGGCTTGTCGCCTAAGCTTGATGTCAGGAACTGAGAGAGACTGACTAACCCAGTCACCCAGCAGCTTTCATGCCTAAGGCTGCACTAGAACTCAGAGTCTCCTAGTTTCTAGCCTGGAGTCATAACCACTACCAAACTGGCTCTCACAAGGAATACACAATATGTATACTGAAAAATCTTCATTGGTTGCCAGTTGTTTATTGACATAATTTAAAGTACTGATATTGATCTTCAAACCCCTAACACTGTGTGGGATCTGACTATCTAAGGGTCTGGCCTCTCCTATTACAAATGTGTCCAAAGATCAATATCTGCAAAAGAGGCTCTTCTCAAGATGTCCCCTTTGTCAGAGGCTGTATTTGGCACACCTTCTACCATGTCATTCTCAGTAGACATGGGAATGCACTCCCTTGGGAATTATGTTTGTTTCTCATTTTCTCTATTTAGAAAATGTGTAATGATGTTTTAATTTTTAATTATTAATTTACCATTAATTTTCATTTATATTTCACCTTGGATCTGCTCTTTAACTTGTTAGTGATCTTAAGTACTCACTTGAATAGGAAGACCAGTTAGAAATCAATTAATAAAATCAATAAATACAATAGCATAGAAATTGCTTCAAAACAGTAAAACATCAATAGGGCAAAGAAAGAAAGGGAATGGAACAAGTGCAAGAGGAAACTTATGCTTATTCATGTCTCTTTTCCATCCTCCACCACAGCATACCCCTTACTTCTACAATGAAAGTGTTGTATACTTTAAAACTTACACATATCTAAAGCTGGTGGAAATCTGCAGATATCAGCCATATTCAGTACATTCTCTCTGCAGCTATCCAAACATCCATTACTGTATTTCTTTGCCCAATCCAAACAAGTCAAAGCAATAAAACTATTTAGCCTATGGTGCAAAAAACCCTTATTTTTGTGTGCTTAAACTAGGAACCTGAAGAAAGCTAAATCATGCTTAGATGAAATTTTCATAACTCTAGAACTCTAGAGCATTTTCCTTCCTAATGCCTGTCTCCTGTTTCTGTAAGGTAAAATAGCCTTCCAGTTGAGTTTCATTCCGTGGGCACTTCCATATGACTTATTGGCAACAATTAAAAAATGGTTTGCCATTCGTTTTTTTCTAGCTTTTTTTTTCTACTTTCCGGTCTAACCTACAGCCCTGGCTTTCCAAGATCAATCAGGGTCAGGTAAGGGTTGTAACTGCTTGTGAATGCTGTTACTGCTGGGGTCCATCTCTGTAGGAGAGGGGACTAAAGGAGATATCGTTGTTTCGAAGGCTGCCAGTAAAGCTTACACAACGTTAAACTAGCATTTGTCTCCATTAAACGATTTTAACACTGTAATGGGACCCGAACTGCCGGCTCGAAATCTGACAAAACTCAGCGAAGAGGATACCAGCGGGGATTCGGTCGCTACTACTGTTAGCTGGAATTTTAGGCTTCATTATTAGCATTTTAATAAAGGTGATATTACATTTGAATTCACCTGAATTCACGCACCTACCAAAGTAGCCTGCCTGCCTGCTCCAGACACACAACCGCTGGCCACACGGCGCCGCGCCCGCCTGCCACCTTTCTCTTACCAGAGCCACCCCAGACCTTTGGGCGGCGGTTTAGCGCCGTTGCCTAGCAACGGCAGCGCGCCCGCTACATCCGATTCCACTCTAGCGGCTTCCGGTGGATGAGTGTGTGTAAGAAGCCTACCGCCTTTTCGGAGTTGTGGCTTATTAATGGCATATTCGCTGCTGTAGCTCAAGCCTGTCCGCTATTTATCCATAAAAGGCAGCACTGCTCGACTCTTAATTCCTTAATTAATTCCACTTTGGCTCTACGCACTGAGGTCTCTCTCGTGAGGCGTGTTCGTCGTTAGTGGCCGTTGGTGCTCCGCCCGCGCCCATTCGGCTCTAGGGGGAGGGTCCCTTTTGTCAGCCATCTACGAAGCTGGCAGTTGAAGCTTCGTGCTGTTGGGCAAAACTTGACCCGGCAGGTCTCAGGCACTGCTGTCTTCTATATCCATCGGAATGCAAATAGAGGAGGGGCCTGTCGGAGCGGTGCCGTGCACTTGCCCTCCAACTTCCCCTGCAGGACGAAGGGGAGGGAAATGGGAGCCAAGTTAACTTAGCTATACTGCATAGGGCACCGGCGGGTGGGTCGCTTCGACAATGCAGTCGTTGGAGGCTGCTCGGGCGACATTCTCCCTGCGGGTATGGCACCTGCCTCTCCTTTTCTGTCTGACTACATTTCTGCTTTTGGTCCAGGAGCCCCCGACTATGGCTGAGGGATTCGGCCTCGTTTCGGTGGACTATGAGGTGTTTGGGAAAGTGCAAGGGGTGTTTTTCCGCAAACATACCCAGGTGAGTGGGCTCAGGCTGTAATTCTCCCGAGGTAAATAATAGATTATGCTGGCAATTTTTGTCACCTTTTCCCCCATTTCTCAGTTGAACTTGGCTCCAAACTGGTGAATATGCAATTGTGAGGGCCTTAGAGGCTTTGCTTGGGCTGCTGAGCAGTCCTAACCTGAATAAAGTTATACAATTAAAGTCAGTAGAATAGACACCTGGAGTCTCTATTTGCCTCTATTATCATAAGATGCCATTGTCCTTTATACTATCATCTGTTTTTAACAACAAATAACATATTTCCAATTAATCTTGGTTTACCTTTGGATGGCATAGCAGAAGTTTGGATTAAACAACAGTAATTTAGTGGGGGCATATTAGTCCCTCTATAGAGGAACCCTAAAGGTTTTAATACAATTCAGATTGATCATATTTGTATGTGCATGTAATTTTTTAAAAATGTCCATGTGCTTTATTGTTTTTAGGCACAAGGAAAAAAGTTGGGTGTAGTTGGCTGGGTCCAGAATACTAATTATGGCACCGTGCAAGGACAAATCCAAGGCCCTCTTGTTAAAGTGCAACAACTTCAGGAATGGCTTCAGAAAACAGGAAGTCCCAAGTCTCACATTGACAGAGCTGAATTCCGCAATGAAAAGAAAATTGCTCATTTAGAGCATAGTGACTTTTGCATAGTCAAATAACAGGTCTAAGGAGAGAAAGTGTTGGATTTATAAAGTCAACCATGGACTTGTCTAGAAGAGAGCCATTCATTTAGTTTTCATTTTCTAGTAATTGGTCACATGCATATTCTTTCCCTGTAACTATTATTTATTTTATGAAGCAGCTATTAAATGTTTTAAGATAAATGTTTCCTGGATTGAGAATGTAATGTCTTAATATGTTGACTGTTAATAAAGGCATGGTTGCTGCATCATATCCAGAGCTATGTGCAAAAATGAGATTAACATATTGAAAGGTTGCAAGTGAATGAACTATTTCGTACATTTTTAGTTCCCACAGCATATAAATTATAAAATTTCATTGCAATTTTTTAATTAAATGAATATTTGTTTTTAGGGTTTTTTAAAGTTTCTTTTATAAATTGTAAAATAATTTGATATGAAAGGTAAATATACACAAAAAAGAAAAGGAAATATTTTAAAGAAGTATTTTCTTACTGAGAGTTATGTTGTAGTATGCAAAATATATATTAAGATAATTTTTACTGTTCCCTGCTTTAGTATGATCAAGAAACAAACCATGCTGTTACCATAAAGATAAACTGAGAACATAATGGGGGGGGGGTCAGAGCAGTGCTGTTCATAGAACTATTATGCACAGAATTAAGGACTAATTCTCTTTAACTGATACTCCACTATACAAGAAGAGTGATCAATCCTGCACTGTAGGATATTGAACTTAAGCATGAGGCAAATACCTAAATTTAATACAGACCTCAGTTTTATTAAACAAATTGTATTCTCCATTGATATTCATACATAGTCTCTCATATAGCACATGCTCCTTTCCCTTGGAATATGATAGAGTTTATCAAAAGTATAGCCACAGCCTTAAAAGTGTTGCTCAGCTTATTTCTCAACCTGTCCAGCTGCTGCTTTTATCATGTCTTCTGTAACTTTCAGCAAATTCTTAGCAACAATATTCCTTTTATCTCCTCCTTGGCAACTAAAGTATTCCTATCAGTTTTTTTTTAAGCTTTCCACCTGGCCCTATTTCTTTGCACACCCCAACTTGTTCTTCCCCATATTTCTGCCTCCTGTTAATTTTCCCACTCATTCACTGCTTTTAAGTTACATCTCTACCAAATATGATTTGGTACCTTCTAAGCTCCTAGCCACAGCTTTCTAATTTTTAAATGCATTTTTTTTAAGTGGCATGTTGTATGAGTTTAACATAACTTCTATAGGCATTCTTAGGAAATAAAAGGTGGGTGAATGCAGCCCAGTAATACTTTGTCTGGAACAAAATTCCCCCATTAAGAAAAAAGGGGAGTAGGGATAGCGTGGACCAAACTCACAATTTTGCCTTTTGCTAAATAGGTATTTTGTTTTTACTTATGCTCATAATGATAACCATTCTGAGAATAGTTAAGCCCATTTGTTGGCAGCCATTTTGTGTGAATGCCATTGTCAGGCCTAGCCCAAAGAACTCCTGGAGACCATGCAGGGTTAATCAGCAAGGATTATTA